CCCCAAAACCCCAAAACCCCAAAACCCCTAGATGAAAATCATAGAAGCTTATAGTTGAGAAAAAAAATAATCAAAAGCTGAGATTTATAAATAATCAAAATAAATAATAATTCTCAATTTTGAAAATTTATTTTATCAAGATCATATTTTACTTAACTAATGGTGAAATATTGTGATATTTTCCACATCCTATCATTTATAGCTAGAATCATAACTTTGCGTATCATTAGAACTTAATATTATTTCCTGTTCCAAATCCCAAATATCAAGAGAAGCATTTCTTTTATTTAGCATTTTGATCTCCTTGAATGAATTAATGTACTTTTACTACTTATTTTACTATTTTTTTAAAGATTGTACCTCAAATAACTTCATAGGTCTCTATTTCAATTGTATTAACTCAAATATTTATCTTTTTTTCTCAATATTTCCCTCTTCATAAATGGATGAAATCAAGCTTTTTTATGATACTAGCAATAGGGCATTGTAAGCCAAGACATATGCTCGATAAAATGGTTTGGAATAATTCTTGTTTTCAATATAATTTTTAGTCATAGCTAATTTTTAGAAAAATGAACAATAAAGATATGAATATTTCTCAGTTGTTACTAATCTGAATAGCTTCTCAAGTGAAAATTTATATAATGATTCATGAGAAATCTTCAATATTTTTTCTGCTTATTGACTAATTTTGAAATTATCTGAGTATATTCTTTTCCGCTTAGTCATTTTCTTAGGATTATATTCAGAGTATATAATTTGAAACATTTATTTCGGATAAATTAAGCAGCCGAAAAAGAAAATAAAATCATCAGGAATATTCATGACATCTTTAGTAGACTGAAACCATTTCCTTGGATCTATTTGTGAGCTGAATTCAGGGAATCTTTAACGGAGAAATGAAGCCGCAAGAGGAACAAAGCATCTTAAATCTTTTATACTTTGAAGCGTGATAAATTAGGTAGCTTCATTAAAGTCTTTTGTATAATATTTTTTCACATCTCTGAGAATAGATTTATATAAAACATCGCTTCTCAAATATCTATTCCCATCTAGATCATATTGTCTGAATTCATTTCGATTTTGTGGATTTAAATAGCCAAATTCCTTATCTCTATTATCAGTTAGAACTAAACTGGGATGATGATCTTTAGAAATTGGAAGTTATGACTCTATTTGTATTTTTATTTGATTTATTCTTTCATAAGTTATATTATCTAATAGAGGGTAGCCATATCCGTTATCTGCTTATTTTATTTCATGAGTTATTATATTTATTACTCTACTAGTATAGCAATGTTGACAGACTTAATTGATCATTTTTATCTTTTATTTAGATTACTTTAAGCTCTTGTTCTATATTTTTTCTATTGAATTCTTGTTCTTAGCGATTTTGATCCCACAAATTTATTATTATGTAAAATGTTTGTTTGTGATCTTGAAACAATTATTTTAAGCTTGACTTTAAGGGGTCAAATCCTTAGTCTAATAACTTAGGGAGCTACTCTTACTTTAAAACTTATATCGAAAAACCAATGATTGTTGATCAATATATCTCTCTGTAACATTGAAAATGCTTTCAGCCATTGCGTTGATTTGCCTATTCTATGCAAAAAAGGTTATTATTTTTGTGAATTATAAATTTTATTATATTTTTTGCTGTGGGGTTAAAATTTTCTAATCAAAAAATTAAACTGATAATTAGTTCTATCAATAGATTTCACAATTTATTAACTTTCATTTAATTATATTAAGTAATAGTTCAAAATTCATCATTATTTCTTTTAGTGGGGTTTTGGGGTTTTGGGG